TCTTATTGCCGCAATGGCACCGAACGTGTCACGCACACACACAAATGGGATAGTTCTACAAGTAAGGCATGTTCAGAGTGTGGTAGCGACAAGATTGTTAAGCATGCGGATCGTTACTTTGTACTACCCTCTCGCTTTTCCAAAGCGAGGTCGAGAGTCGGCTCGTGCCCAGTGTTGCTGCTTCATCCCAGGATTGTGTCGCCCTTGTAGCGAATTAGAAGCGACGCCTGTTCCTCGCTACTGGCTCTTCGAGTCGAAACCTTACCCCGACAATTTGACATATCACGCACCAGTGGAAGCAAGACTCGTACAGCTCCAGCTTGACTTCACAATGGCAGTCGTACAAAGGCAAAAACGATGCGGCTAGCCCGCTATTGCAGTCCTTGACACTTACCGGTGTTTCATTCTCGAGGCGCACAAAGTTTTGTGGCTTGTCTGGTGTGCCGCATATCACGGAATATCTTGATTGGTGCCCCTTGTCGAGCACCCGTCGTCTTCATGTCGACCCATGTTCCTTATTCTACCGTCACGTCTGTGAAACCGTGGGCCGCATCCAAGCTTCACCAGAGACGCCCGCATCGACGCTGATCTGGCATGAGTTGTAGGGTTTCCTGCCAGGGTCAAGACACAGCAGGCCACCAATAAACCTGCTCTTGGTCCCAAGACACCGGGTTTAGCTTACTACGGCCGTCGTGGACTGTCACGTCTGCGCATCAATAAGGTGACGAGCATGTGTTGGACAGCTACAGATAGCTATGGTTTGCATCTTCTGAAAGCATCGAGTGACCGACCATTGGTGGCTGGTCGCTGGTCACCCATCATGCCCTCGAAATGGCAACCACTACAGCAACCACCAATCAGCAGAAGCCCTTTTGCTGACACCTTCAAGCGGCTAATGCAGCGCATCCTTATTGTGATCTAAGTCAGCTCCAAAATCAGTTTGCACGAGGGTTGGGTCTTTAGGACCTAACCCGCCTTCGAATGCAAAGCAACATCATGAACATCACCACGTTTCCTCAAAATCAACGTACCTTAGTACTCCCCAGTGAGTGATGGGCATGTCGTATTCAGCGCTGTAAGCTAATACTAATTTCATACGTGAGCGATGCCCCGGTCCTCCTTGGCGGTGTAATATGCACTCGGAGTTACTTCTGCGAGTGCGTATTATCCTGCTAGCTGTGGACGTTTTGTAGTGTACTAACGCCCATTGTCACCGCATCTCGCGCCATTCCGTGGTGGGCACACATCCCGAGGTGGTGCAAACAAGTGGACCAATACATGCGAAGTACCGCACTCTATCACGTATTGCTTATGAATACCGGTAGCTTGATTCATCGCACCGCTCTGCTATCACGGAGCTACTGCATCTCGAGACAATAGTGTCAATGGATTTTGTGCAACTTGTGCAAACTCGTCAACGGGCACCGTGTGATCCGAAACGCACCGCATGTTAAATTTACTGAAAGCAAGTGCCCCGAGCACACCTTGAGCCTAATCCAACATCAGCTGGATGGGCGGTGATCGTCCGCTGCAGCGCGGATTGCGCCACACCCTAATGTTTCTTTGGAAGGATGGCCGGCTTCTTCCAGGTTTGCTTGGCTTACTCCGATAGAGCCGAACTTTCCCAAAACAGCGAAATTGTCGAACTGGACATTGTCGGTTGTCAGCACCGCGTATCGAAAGCACAACTATTTCCGCGTTCCTGCGGGAGGGATAAGGTCCCTATGCCAGTGCAGTGAGCGCAAGGTACGTAATTTGGCGCCATGACCAATCGTCTCGTCATCCGTATTAAAAGATAACGAGCAGGCGCCTAGAAAATCTTATCCCTGCCACGTCCGCCCCCAAATCCCGAGCGGCTTCTCCAAAGATTTGCTTAAGCTTAATTCGTGGACATTTAGTGCGCAATTTAACGATAACTTTGCACGGCTACTGGCCAGGCTTGATTGTGTGGCGTTTTTTGTGTTTTGGGGGTGTGAGTGGGGTGCACTTCCAGGTTTGCACAATGGAACCCTTGAGACGGGGCTCGACGGGAGTTCGGTTAAGACACGGCCGACCTTACCGTTATCTTTGACTCCGTTTCCCGCCAGCAGCAGCTGAGGTGCCCTGGCTCCCGACATCTGTCCAGACAACTACGGCTGAAATGGCCACCATGGATCTCACCATTTACCAGACGATATTCGAAACGTAACAGGATCTCTAGAGTCCACTGCGCAGTGAAGACGCCGAAGTTCTACGGTTCTTACGGGGAGCACTTCTCCGGCGGACTCGAGTGGAGCGAACCCTGTAAAAGAAAAAGGCTGACGCGGCCTCGGAGCTCGGACGTCCCTTCCTGGTCCCTTTGTTGCTGGAAGTGTGGGAAGAGGTGGCATTGTGGATAAGCTTCCAACGGGGATCGGCAATGACGGGATCAAGTCACAGGGCCCTGGACCGAAGGTCATGTACAGTACCAACCTACATATTCGAACTGCCCTGTTTTATGCGCCGCTAAAAGAAGGTTAGGGACGACTTGAGGCTCGAAAGCTTCTTCCTGTGGCACCATCTCTGCCTACCTGGGAAGGAAACTGAATCGACGAATCTTGACGTTGAATGGCCCAAGCCGTCTGTTTCGGATTTGCACCTATTTATGGGAGGAAGTATCGCAGCTTTACACCTCATATCGTCCATTGCATCCGCTCGGCTGTCGAATTCTTTTGGAACTTGTGAATTGCGTGATATGCGTTCGGTTGACTCAACAGGCAAAGACCATCAAAGACCGCCATAAGCTTGGCGATCACACACTTTCTTCTACTGGCATGTGCTTCCTTAGGATGAGCACCCGGCAACACGGCTCCAAGTCTGCATGATGAAGAACGATATGCCCCGCATCTTCGCTGAAGACTCTAGAAGCACCTAATATCTCTGCCCCCATCTTCCCGAAAGGGAAGTTGTGCGCCGCGTGTGGGATTCGTGAAGCAAGGGGAGAGGCTGCAGTGCGCAATATCTGTCCTTTTCGAGGCGGACACCACAGCAGCGGAGGCCTACGTCCCAACAACTGTAACCCGAAGTACCAGTACGCACACAGAAGCACCGCCAGTAAACGAGTTGAAGCCAAGATGAGTCGATTGTGCTCATCTTTGCTCTTGGCCGTATCTCTCCTCGTTCCCAAGTGCTCTTGGCCATGCACTGCCAAGCTACTAGCGCATCCCGTATGAATCCCGGACGACCGTCGGACATCATCTATCACCCGTCTGTCCACGACCGAGAATGGACCCGTCAAGAGTTGGGAAAAGATGGTCCGATGGAGCCTTTTGGCGGACGACGAGAACCCTGCCCACCAATATCGAGCGTGCAAACTATACAAACATAGCGACACAATGGCCTCCACCAAGTGCATATATGTCAAGACCAGACAACGTTATGAATCATGAGACCAACTTAGAGTGTCCTGCAGTGACGATCAGATAATACAACGGTACTATCGAATACGATTCCTGATGGGTGCGCATAGTGCAAACGCTTTCTGACCAACAACGCAATCTTACCGCAGTACTTCCCCCAACAGCCTACCTCCCTTGCTGCGGTCTGTACTGCCTTCCAAACTGTCACGATGCAGACGGATACATGATGATCTCGGGCCCGATCACAATATCGGCGGCGACATGCCTTTCTCTGTTGTCATCAATATGTCTCAATCCCTCTGGGGAGGGATCGCAACAATGGAGTTCTACTTAATGGAACACCGCATATCGCTCCCGTCTGGTTAAGGTTGAGTATACGATGGCCGCATACGAGCCCTATACCACTTGACTACAACTGCACATACCGGCCGTGCCGGCCTATGTTGACGATCATAACGGTCATCACCCAGTGCAGATACATGCACTAGCGTCGCTTTCCGGTTATCACCCGCTGCACCAAACCGCGACTGCATCGAGATCCAGATATCTGAACCCTACGACGTGGCAAACTGAGGTTAACCCCTGGAGTCTAGGTAGAGGGAGCCTACCTTTGACATGTTATTATTGCCTTCATGTCCCGAGTCCTGAGGCAGTGTGACTGACGTGACTGATACCACCTGCCTTTTCTCAACCTCATCTCGCGGTCGTCGGCATGCAACGGAGCCTTGGACTACTAGAATAAGAAGCTCGCACTTCTGTCCGCAGATGTCTTCCTTTCAGAAGCACGGAGCCAGAATTCCAAGGTTCCATTATTCCGGAGCGATCGTGTTACGTTCAGTGATTGTGTATATTTGTCTTCTGACGAGCTCCTCATCATCGTCTTCGGTTGGTTGGTGCCCAGACAAGAAACGAGGGCACCACAGTTGAGCGACCAACACGACCATGTAGACAGTATTTCGACCCGCCAACGGACCACCCATCTTGAAACTCGCCAAACAGCGAGTAGTCTGTGACGTCCGTAACCCGCCCCGTCTGGATAGTGTGACAGCTCAGAACTCGACAGCCGATCATGTCCGACACTGGACTTGCCACCAACGTCCAGCACACAGAATGCTGTCGAGCTCATATTTACCGGTGGAGTAAAAATGTACAAAAAGGTTTAATCTGCTTTGTGACCGACATTAATAACTACCCGTCCTGCACAAGGGGAGATCCGCGAGGATATAATTGCGAAATATAGATATTAGACTCCTCCCGCTACGTGATCCACACTGACAACCTCCCATACGAAGCTTCTGGACGTTCCACCAGGACGGCGAGCCGAAGTGCCGCCGCATCCCGTGCCGTCGATTAGAAACGGGACGACGTCCGCATCGCAGGACATGACCATGGTGCCAATGTCCGTCAATTAGACTCCGGTAATTGCAGGGGTTGGGGGCTATTGACGCCCGCTCGCCTGATGCCGCGACAGGTTTACGAGCATAGAGCCTGAATGTAACAGCATCGGAGCATTATGACGCAAGCGGGACCGTCTTAGAGACAAGTGATGTCGGAGTCTAATTCTGTAGTAGAGCTGTAGAGTAGAGTTACTGTACACTTTGAGTGCGTAAGATTTGCCAACAAACCAAGGTGGTGTAATGGTAACATTCCGAGTTGACACCTGGGGCGGCCTACTGCGCTAAACCAGGCCCTTCGGGGGCGGAGGGATCCGGGTTCGATTCCTGGCCTTGGGAATATATATATATTTTTTTGCTAGCCGCGGAAAAATGCTATTTATTCTTTGCCGGTGTAGATGGAACAAGAAAAGGCACCTACTATTTTTTGTTGAGATTAGGCGATTTGATTGATGCCTGCCTAACTAAGGTAGGGAAGGGAGGGCTAAGATACCAACCTATTATTTGCACCGATAGACTATAGCATCTTTAAAGCACCGAGGTTTTGCTTGCTATTGTTCGTCACCAGCTCACCCCTTGGCGCGCCGCTTCAACGCCACTTTAGCCCCCCAAACTTACTCTTCGAGGCATATATCATAGCCGTTATGGGCACAGGGCGTCAAATGTACTCGATTCCCACCTTGTAAGGAAACTTGAAGTGACTGAATTGAATGCGGGGTGTAAACTCTCAGCGAGCGGAAGGAGGAGTATCGAGGAGAGGTACTCCAAGAGCCGGGGTCATGGGACAAAGATTCCCATGGTCGCCGGGAGCCAGGATGCGGGCGCGGCCCCGTTCGCGCCGAGATTTGGAGCAATCAGAAACGGCATCCTTGACGGCAACACACGTCTTACATCTCATACATCGAATCGCCCAAGAAACATAATCCTACAATGAAGATACAGGACACAGTCTTCGACACACAAGCTTGATGAAACTCAACTGGCGAGTGACTGTACCCTCTTCCCACAGAAATCTCCCCCTTCGTGCGTCGGCTACGCTGCTATCTCTGCACACTGGATCGGTCCAAGCTCCAGGCTGATTGGGGGCCAAATGACAGGGCCAGCGCAAACAGCTGTTATCCGTCTTCACCGCATCGCCTCTATGGACCCAACAGTGGTACCCACGAAAGTTAGATACGTTCGAGTAGCGGCCTCTTCCTGTCTTGCGGCTAAAGTAAGGCCGTAAGCTGGTGCGCCGGTGACACAACATGGCCTCGTCTTTGGGTCTCGAGATGTGCCGAACAGAGAATCTCAAACAGAACTGTCAGATGCAAGCCTCCCCATGCGGACTTGGTAATATGGTACAAGACAGTGTCTCTCGACCTCGAGGGAGGGCGCATACGAGGGGGGAGAAAGAGAGACGACCCTGTGGCGAAAGTCGGTCATGCAACAAGCCATCGCACATGTGGTGGGACAGTTCCACAGGATGTGCACCTCTCCGCTATGTATCCAAGCTAGGCAAGGCTTAACGAGCACAACATGAAGCGGAGAGACGTGCGTCGCACCAACGGGGGCTTCATTACACTCGATACGCAAATCGAGCGAGTGTTACCCTTGTTCTGGCGGTAAAGAGACTGTTCAACTTGCTAATCGGCAGGCACAAGCTCAACAATCGCACCGCCCGAACCAGCGTGGGAACGCAACAACGTCGCGAATCGTAGGCACGCCCGAGAGGTAGCAGAGAAGCCTGTCGAAGCCAAGACCAAAACCTCCGTGCGGCGGACACCCCCAGCGACGCAGGTCAACATACCAGTCCAGGTTGCTTCCGTTGCTGGCGTCGGCCCCCGCCGCCACAAGGTCATCTTTCGTGGCTTCCTTGGCAGCGGCCGCCTCCCTGTCATCTATCGGCGGTGTAGGCAGGCCGTGTAATTTCATGTTCCGGATGAGAGCCCCAGTGTCGTGCTCGCGCATCGAACCTCCTGCAATCTCGCAGAAGTCCGGGACAAGTAAGTCGAAGCATTCAACCGTAGGCCCTGGTTCCCCGGGCACCTTGCCGTGCTCCTTCATGTAAAATGCCTTGATATCCCGGGGATAGTGGGTGACGAACACGGGCTTGCCGCGCCCGACACGATCAGCAATGAACCTCTCGTGTTCTGCCTGAAGTCCGCTCCCCCAGAACGGCTTGGTCTCGAAGTGTTGGGGTGCACTGGCCAATATATCGATGGCTTCCGTGTAAGTTATTCGTGGCCATGACGGCGCCATGAGGCCCTCCCAACGTTTCTTTATTACCTCGGCAGGAGTCTGGCCTTCACGAGAGAGTATCTCTCGACCGACCGTCGTTTCCATAAGACTCGTGGCTAAGTGCCGCAACATATCCTCCGCTGTGTCCATTACAGCCCCCAGGTCATCCACAAAAGTCATCTCAGCCTCAAGCATATAGAACTCGCTCAGATGCCGGGATGTATCGCTCTTCTCCGCTCGAAAGGTCGGTGCTAGCGTCCACACATTACCGACCGATTGAGCGAGCGCCTCTAGGTGAAGCTGCGTAGACACAGTGAGATACTTCTGGGATCGGAAGAACGGTTCCTGTGGCTCATCATAGACCGGGGACTTCGCCGGCGCAACGACGAAGACCTCGCCGGCGCCCTCGCAGTCGGATGAAGTGATGACGGGTGGATGGGTCTGTGTGAACTCGCGGGCAGCGAAGTACTGAGTGAGGGAGGCAATGGCAGCGGATCGTAACCTGAGCACGGCTGCAATGGAGGGTACCCTCGGCCGCAGATGGGGCAAAGTCCGGAGGAATTCGGGAGTTTGGTATTTCTTCTGAATCGGGAACGTCTGTTTCGCATCACATCAGGGGCTGTTCTGGCCTTTGGGGGACGACACGGTGATCGAGGATAAACGACGTCATACGGTATGGCATAGGGAACATACACTGGCATCAGAAGGGCCGAGGACGTGAACCTTGTTGGCTTGGAGTTCGTAAGCCTGAATGTGTTTGGGACCAGCACTGCGAGTCCAGGTGCCTGCTACGCGAACAGCAGCACCAATGGTCAGCCTAGGGGAGCAAACATTAGTAAACTGAACGCAGCCGAGACACAAATGTCGGGGAATAATCAGGAATCGCACCCATCGGTCTGATCTGGTGGAATGACGGCCTGTAAGTGAGTGACGGACGAGCCATCGTTGAGGGAGACGAAGGTGACTCTCTTCATGGATCGCACAGCGTGGACGTAGCCGTTGACGACAACGGGAGCTTCGATGTCTGGATTCCAGGCGAGAAGCTTAGCGATGGTCTTGGGCATATCTTGCCCAGCTTGGGCATCGTGCACGGAATGCGACGAGGCGGAGGAGAGTGCTCGGCCGAAAGAGCGGGATCTCGAAACATGATGGGGTAGAATTGAATCAGCGGAAGTCGACAGAATCAACCGCGTCCATTTTAGCGACGGCCTGGCCAATCTGGACACTCTTGCCAGAGAAGCTGGCCGCATATCTGTTCTCTGGCGGCTATGAGAAGCAAGCTCGGCAGTGAGCTATGTGCAGGAAAAAGCAGCGATGCGGCGGATGGAAGCTGTGCTATGACTGGATTTTGGTACATAAATTCCATGTCGTCGGACCAGAGAGGACGGCGCCGATCCGCGATTGGAAAGCTTGGGTGGGTCCATGCACAATGGACCCATTCAGATCCCGCTAGACCAATAGGATGGAACATTGCAAGGGAAAGAGCGGCACAGACCATCCTCACAATTCCCTCGGTGGTGACGGACCGCTTTTGGCAGTGGACTCGTATCAGGAGCGGCCTGCCAAAGTCATGTATAGAATTGACTTCCAAGAACCTGCTCTGTTGGTAGACGGGCGTAGCTGGTGCTGCAGCATCCTTAGCAAGTTCGAAGCTTGAATGACTCAAGAGGCGCCACCTCAAGACTGTCCCCACCGTATCACGTATCCAGGCTATGTACCTCGTTCACCGGTTGAAATGCCACCGAGGTATTTGCCAGGTTGGGACTGGATAAGCCAGCCTGCATACTGGTTGTTGGCGTGGTTCAGGACATATCTGCGGTCTCGGTTCTTTGAGATAATGGTTGGCTCCAAGCCGATCGGCGCCTTGATCCAACACCGACGTGGGAAAGAACATGAATGTTCTGGCACTGGATGGCCGATCCACTGCTTGTGGCGTCCTGCCACGTCCGCGACAACTCACAACGAAGCAGCTTCAACAATATGTCCACACTCTATGTCTGTTCCCTAGAACTTGGGATGTTACAAACAAAGATATCTCACCGTCACATACCATGTTATACTCGCACCTAAGTGGGCAGCATCGATGAGCCGGCACATGTCGAAACACGTACTGGTCCGATGAGCTTGGCTAGGCTGCGGCTGCTTGTGTTTGCTGCAACCTTCACCTGGCATTCCTAGGGCTGGCTTGACATTGATTGCTTGTTTTCAGCCCGCCATAAGAGGATAGAGGCTGGCAATGGCTGTCCAAGTGGGCAGCAGGGGTGAGCATAGTGTGTCTTATGGGCACATGGCTCTCAAAGTGATGTGCAATCGTCACTGGCATCACGTCACATCCTAGCCAGCGCCTCTTTTCGCTTTCGTCTAGAACATATCCAAGGTATTGCCTAGCATTCGGGATTGCTGTCTTTTAATTGCTCATTACTACGCAGCATCGCGCCAGGCTCCGAAACACAATTACGGGTTCCAGATTGGAGCGGCGTAGAGTCTGGCACACGACAGAGATCTGGTGTTACCGCCGGCAGCTTGCAGTCGCAACAACATCTGCGACCTTGTTCCAGGTCCCTCGCCCACTAAGATTGGGTACCACTACCCGTGGACTTGGGCATGGGACGTGATACCAGATCAAGGACCCCGGAAAGTCACTCAAACATTTTTCTCAGGGACCCTCGATGACTGTTGTGGGTCATGGGCGACTACAGAACCGCGGATCAGATGCAGTATATGAGGGCCGATCTTGACAAATCTATATCTCTCGCCTCGGCGGGTCTCGAAAAGGACGATTGCGATCCTGGCCTGTTCTAGACAAAGGCCTGCCGCTCCCGAGATATTTGTGCAACCGAGGAGCCATAGCGGTGCCGGCGACAACCAGACATCAACACGGTCAGAAGGCTTTCCATTTGTACTTTTATGCTACGATCATCTTTCCACCTGGCACTGTCTCTGCCTAAAACTCCTATATCTGCAGCTATTTACTTCATATGGCCAGCTCAACATATATATAAGTAGCCCTCAACGACTGGACCTTTGATGTGCTTCGGATTCGACACACTTCCGGCACCAACATCACATGCACCATAGGCTACCACCCGTGCGTGACTTACCAACACCATACTTATTGG